GAGTTAGCGAGGCTCTGATAGTCCCAGCTGAACATTAAAAAAAAAAAAAAAAAAAAAAAGTGACAGAAAATAAACTGGACAGAGGCAAGGACACCCCATTGCCATGTTTAGAACAAGACAGAGCCAAGGCCACTCTGTCACCACAGAAATGACTAATATGAGGCACTGTTGCTCCTTTAAAATGACATCACTAACCCTTCTTTAATCCTCTCATCTTCCACCTAATAACAGTTAAGATACCTGATCACCACACTATTTCTTGTGAGTATCTAATCCAGAAATGGCTTCCACTTCCCTAATATCGCCTTAGATTCACCCCGCCAGCTGAACCCTGTAACAAGCTCTTTCCAATGCCTCCTGCTGAGATGCCTTACACTATCTCAGGAGTGCTTTCTCCCTTGCTGCAATAAAGCTAAATATTCCTAATTTTTTTTTTATTACAGGTATGTTCCTAGTAGTCTTTGGCCAGAGGGCTTTAACAGCATGACGTAGGGATTCAAACAGTGCCATATTGCAATAACTTAGAAGAAAGACAAGCTCCAGAATTCTAAAATATACATATGAAGAGTTTGAATAAATTTGTTTCATAAAATATAAATATGGCAACAGCAATATTTCTAAATTAGTGTGCTATTTTATAAAATGTAAGATTGCAAGTATGGAAGTGCTGCCCAATTAAGAAATGAAATATAGAACTGACATTACCAGAGGCGGGAAAGGGGGTGGGGGGTAAGGGAGGACTTGGTAAAGGACCATGAAAAATGATTACATTGTATAATGTTGAATATACTAATTATCCTGATTTGAGCATCACATATTGCACATAGGTATTGATATTCAACTCTGTACCCCAGATTGCACAGAAATGTATAATTGACTATGTTAACAATAAAAAATAAAGCTACTAATATGGCATTCTGGGCAAAAAAAAAAAAAGAAATATAATTAAACATTGACAATCTCATCCATATCTCTAAACGTTTATGTTTACAAGTTGCTCAAAAATCTATTACAAATTTTGTCTTCTTATTGGGAAAGTGAATCTGTCCTCATGTTAAGCATTGTGGTCAGCATTTATTCAACCTCTTACAGTCAAAGACTTTTTCCTTAGTTGTAAAGCAAATCTGTATTTAAAAAAAATGGAAAACTGCTACTCATGTATTAATAAATTATAAAATAATTCTAATATTGTTACCTTTTTTCTGTAAGTCCTCTCCCAACTTTTTCTATTGTCATTGTTATGGAAATAGTGATCACTGAATGAGTTGGTTAAAATTGACTTGTTCATTTGAGGGGACAACTTATGTCTGTTATCTCTGTATTGATTTTTGATGTTACAAAAGAAGTTGCACCAGGTAAATGAGATTGTATGCATAACAGATGATTAATAAAATGTAAATATTATTATAATTATAATATTTAATTGGGCAACATTTTGACCAACAAAGACACCACACAACCTGCTATACCATATATAAATCTTGTGATGCACATCTGTTGTGAGTAATATATTAAAGATTGTTATGCAAAAAATAAACCCTAAAGAAGTTCTTGGAAATGTTAAGATGTTGATGTTGGCAGTGGAACTAACCTGTTGGGAGAGAAAAACCCCAGCTTAATCTAGTTAATTAACAACAAAACAGCTGGGAAAAATGAAACATCCCTGGTTGTGATTGACTCTAATTGAAAATGACTAATGATACTGTCATTTTTCAGCTTATTTCTGAGGAAACGATGCCTGGAAGATTATAATTGCCCTGTTGACCATTTGTCTGCAGCAATTATTTTGTGTTAAAGGTTGGGATGGAACCATTTGGCCAAACACAGAAGGCTCTCCACACCTTACATTTTCTGGTATATTTAAACATAATTCAATAGCAGTAAATAAAGTATATTATTAGGTTCATATAAGCAGAATTTCTTTTGATAATATAAAAAGTAAGTGAAGCAAACAAGCTGGTTTCATCTTATCACTTCAAGTGACCAAGACAGACATTTAAAATTCCATTAATACTTTCAGTTCTGATACGACAATATTTCAAAAAGTTCATGGTTTCCATGAAAAAACCACAAGCTTTTTGAAGTACCCTCATATATGGATGTGATATAAGCACTTCAAAATACATGCACACATTTAAACAATTTTAATAGAAAGAGTAGTTTTCCAAGTTGAGTTAAAAAACAGTTATAAATAGAAGAAAATGGCATCTGAATGCTTAAGTTCAAGAGAGTTAAAAACAGTTTTGAAAACCAAATAACAAATGGTTTATTTATTTATTTGTAGTCAATGAAACAAAGAAAAGAAGAAAAAGGAAAGAAACTAAATAGGGATGAGCCCAGCTCTTCATCAGGACTCAGCTTGGGAAGTGAGCGTAGGAGCTGAACAGACAGGCTGTCTGATGCAGAATGTGAAGGTGCCAATAGACAGCCAATTTCCTAAGAAAAGAATCATTTGCTGATGTCTTTAATTAGAATTTCTGAAAGCAATGAACATACTAATTATCCATTTAAATACTGGATCTTACACATACATCAAGAGGAATTTTCATTTTCTTATTTAAGAATATCACTTTCTTTTTCATAATTGTTATAGTTTCCAAATGTACTTCCCCCTCCAAAACACAAACAAAAACAAACTTCTCTCATGAAAACAGTGCAGGCTACTCAGACCCTATTCCCTTCTATTAAGGGATAAGACGCTCAGAGTTAAGGAAAAGAGGCATTAGAAATAGCACAGTTTTGATATGTGGACTCAACGCTGAAGAAGGCTTTGTTCATGTACTATCAGAGCAATGGATCACCCTTCAGAAAAATCATCCCTAACCTTTACAAAGAAGTTTTTGATTCGGGCAGAAATTTAAACAGCCCTTACAGCTTTCTGCCTTATATTGCTGGGTGCCATGTTCTGAACTGTGAAGTCATTTATTGAGCCCTTTTGTGTTTTGGCCACCACAAACCCCAGCTAGCCCAGCATTTCCAAGGTTGTGGTCCATATCAAAAGTTGTGTATGAGTCAACTATTTCTCCACACCCCATATCTCTCAAATCAATCTTGCCTCTTTGCCCCTATTGACTTGATATGTTCATTATTCTCCAAATCCAAGGGAGAAGTGACAGAACAGAAATGAGTTTTCACTTAAGTTTTGCTTCTCCTAGTGAACGAAATGAGAAGAAACAGGGAAGTATGGAAGGAAAAAAGAAAGAACAGTGCTGTCTGCTACAAAATGGTTTTAAGGGATGTAGAAAAAAAGGGAAGTTATATCTCCTTGTTCTTTCTTTTATTTCAGGAAGGTAATTCCCCCTTTACATCATTAATGCAATAGCAGGAAGTAGATATGCTCAGGCGTGGCAGACTCCAGTTCTGATCTCAAAGTGGCCGAAGAGTTGAATGTATGGATGGAGGTGTGATAAGTTAGCATCAACTGCTTGGATTGTTTTACATACAGTGAAAGCAAAAATTTTCTCATTGACTTTCAATTAAGACTTTTCCCTCTGTTTTTTTTTTTTTTAAATAAAGGTATGAAAGTAAAAGCCAAATTTAATGCACATTTGTAATCTGTAAAGTTTGTGCAAAACCCTGGCTCTTAGTCATATACAATAAAGCATAAAGTCTTTGAGGATCAACCAAGAGTAGATAGAATGGACTTAAGCAATGATCTATTTGTCCATTTCATGGCTTGCTACAATGAGAGTCACTCTGTTAAACACTGTGTGGACTGGCTTTTATTAGAGCATCAATAGAAACCCTGAAATTTGCTGATTTTAGAATTTTCTTTAGCTCTACAATGTAAATATTCAACACATTGTTAGTTTATGAAAAATGATCATACTGGGCTTGGGACTATATTCATATTATTTCCTGAATAAATGTATGTCGATATCTACAAAGAAAACTGTGCCTTTTACCAGCTGGTGTTTGGACATTATGTTTAGGCCCAAACTTTAAATTTACCTAAGGAAAAGTCCCTTGTAAACTGTAAGGGAAACAATTTTCAAGCTTGGGCCAGGCACAGGGGAAACAAAGTGGTGACCTTAGAGACAGAGTCTGAGTCATGGTAATGTTTGCAAGGACAAACTCGTTCTGTATAATGAGGTTATTGACCTGCACTGTTTTAGAGCAGTTTTAAACATGAGGGTGAGGCTCCCTATATCTCAGCCTGCAGCATTAGCTGAGAAACCAAGACTGATCAATAAGCAGCCACCATTACAGGCTCTCGGGAAACTTCATAATAATGGAAGCCGTTATAATTTTGGTCAAGAACAGAGAATAAGGTAACCTATACATAATGTCTATTTATCACTGGACTCTCATTTGCAAATGGAAGCCATTGATTAGCTATTTTCTGAAAACTGACCTGGCTTTCCATTTCTCTCCTCATGTAATAGCCCAAGAATAAACGCGCTCTAGACTTCAAAATGCACATGGAAAAGGGAAAGAAATGGAAAGCTTTCTCCCATGCCAGCATTTTACCAAAGAGAGAAGTAATTACATGACGTTTCACTAAAAATTCTTGACCCAATAAAGTACTGAAGCCCGAATGCTGATTTTCCTCTTTCATAAGAAAGAGCAACAAAGAAAAGAAAGGTCACGGACTATATTGTGATTCTTTACAGCTGTTGGAGACAGACAGTATGATGCAGTAGCTTGATTTGAATTAAGCCAAACAATATGAAAAGCATCGAGGCTGGCAAGCAAAGCAATAAAGCCTCAAAGAATTTAATCTACCTTGAAGGTGGGACTACTTTTTGTATTGATGGCAGCACACCAGGACAGAAATGAGTCCTTTAATGCAATGACTCGTTAATAGCCTTAAGATCACAATATATAAATAGGATATGTTGATCAAAAAGACAGCTTTGCCTCTACGATTGCAGTATAGCCAATATTTCCTTACAAGTTATTTCATTGAGTATAAACAGACCCCATCAATAGCAAATGTACAACAGGGGAAGCATAACCCATTATGAGGTAATGGATATTGCTAGAGGTTGCTTCATTACCTTCACTGGCTGAGTGGCTGGTTTTTCCTTGTACAAATGCTGCCCTTTAGACAAAATCCCTTCCACATCCGGTTGTTTAGCTTGAACTGCTGCTTCAGTTTCCTGGGGAAAAGAACCCATATAGTGCAGATTAACTTCACAGTTAGCAATAAAATTACTAAATTTAAATATACCCTTGGAGACTCCACATGTATTGCAGATCGATTTGTGCAAGGTAGGTAGGGACACACAAAAGTAGCTTTTGGTGCAGAGAAAAGAAATAGAGGTCTCTGTGAAACATACTAAACTTAAAAAAAGTAATGCAAAATCTTATTGAATTATATCATAATACAGCTATATAGAAATGCAGACACTAACTTTCTATTTTTCAAAAAAGTAAAATGCAATTATGAGAGGTACAATTTATTAATATAATTTACATGTATAAATACTAGTATTACCTTTAATAATCTCAATAATTCTAATGCTTATTTTACTTTACAAAATTCTTATTTTACAGGATTTTATTTTGGGCTTAAATCTAAAATTTTGTTTTAAAATAGAAATCAAATACTCCTTTATACATCACTGTCGAAATCATTAAGTTTCTTTCCAAAGGGTAAACACTTAAAGCACAGTATCAAAACTTATTATTTATTAAGAAGTCAAACTAAATAGGCTTTTTGAGGAATAAGTAAATTAGTGTTTTATTGTTTGTTTTTCCTTAGCCTGGAGAAGACTGAAGCATGACAGAAAAAAAAAAAAATCCCTTTAGATATATGAATATAGAGTGTTTTGTTACTGGCTGCTGTCTAGCTCTCTTGAAGAGAGGACAAAAGAAATGTGCATAAATTGAAGCTGAAGGAAGTGAAGTTAAATATTACAGAAGACTTTTTGGGCGGAACACTTGTTAAACACTAGGATAGAGTATCGATTAATCAATGTCAGGCATCAGTCAGGACCTGAGCAATCTTCCCCAGAGAGTGGCTCCTGATTAACCCGTATCTCTCTTTCTCCCTCTCATACCCTGGAGCTTCCCAGAACTGCTGTATGTACGTGTCTTCATGACACTGTTTCCTTTATATACTGTTTATAACTGTTCTCTCTCAGCTCATCAGGACAAGAAAGCCAGGAACCCAAATTACTATAACCTCACACTGCACGGTAGGGTGTCTTGTACCTTATGTGTGCTCAGCACATACCCTTGAGAGGGACCAGTTCTCTAGTTCTTATTATATACCAGTGGAAGACAGGCACTTTGGTCAGAAGTGTCCATAACATTAAGACTGACCTTGTGTGTTAATGGGTATGTGTGCAAATCTCAGTTCCTTTAGAACAGGAGTTTAGCTATTTCACTCTTATAGTACTGCTGATTGATGGTCTTACTGCCTATTGCCAGGAAAAGGTATTGTTCCTTCAAAGTGCAGTACCCGGAATGACTATAACTCTTTGCTAGAGGTAAAAATTGCTCTGATCTCAGATCAGGAATGGGAAATATCTAGTTTAGGCACTGAATTCCTAATAAGTCCCTAGCCACTATAAATTCACTTTTAAATGTCCCATTTGCAAAACATTCTGGTGTAGTGAATGGTTACCTGGTCTCAAAATACTCTAGGAGAGAAAACAAAATATGTTACTCTAAAGTAGTGGAGGAAAAAGAATATCTTTAGTAAGGTAAAAATGATTTAAGAAAAGGAGAAAAGTAACTGCATTTTCCCACCTATATATATGTAAACTATGTATATCATAAATTGCCAAGCCAAATCCATGTATGATGTCTAAATTATACATTTTAATTTATATATGCACTATACATCTAAACTGATGAATTAACTTGAAGCAGTGTTCACCTCCGTTCATTTTGTATATGTTTACCTAAGATAAAGCACTGTTTTCTATTTTCTCACTGACTACCAGCGACATTCCTTGTGATATTCATTGATATTGATAATTACTGGTAATAGACAAAGTTTTCTGAATAGCTTCATCATGTCCATAGACTATATTACTGATGATAGTATAGTTACCATTTCTATAATAACTGCTATTTACCTTCCCCAAGCCCTGATTCAAACAGATTCCCATTTTACAGATGAAAAAATGAGGCTGGGTGGGGTAGCAGAGGTGGTGGCACTGATGATGTGAATAACTTGCCCATGATCACAAGGGAAGTAGGAGAATTAATATGCAAAGAGTTTGATCTGAATCCAAAGTTCACGCCGTTTCCACTAGTATAAGCTACCTCTGCACGTCTTTTTAAAAATCATTATTCATTTATTAAAACATATTGATTTTACATATTTATGGGGTACAGAGTTATATTTCAATACGTGTATAAAATGTGTGGTGATCAAATCAGGGTAATTAGCATATTCGTCATTGCAAAATTTAATCATTTCTTTGTGTGGCTCTGCATATCTTATAAAAACTTACAGCATATCATCTCAGTGACTTGTTCTAATTAATGTTATTTCTCAGCATTAAGAAATTTTACTTTCATCATCTGAAGTTATTTCACATTATCACATGTGCTGAAAAAATCTCATAACTCTGATAATAAAGGAGAATCAAATTTGGCCTGCAAAGTCATTGGTGTTGTGGAGTACGTGTAGGGATTCCAGATAAACTCTGTGGCCAGACCATGTGAGATGAGTCACTATGGGTAGGAGTATGGCCACTTGATGTAACAGTAGTCATTCCTATCCACTGAAATTTTTGTAAAATAATACAAAAGACCATTGTTCCCCCCACCACCCTGCAGTCTTATTTAAACTGTTCCACCTCCTTTGTTCCATCCTTCATAACACATTACAATTAGTCAAATTGTATGTGTGTGTGTATAAGTTTGACCATCACTATAGAATTATCCTGTATGAGAGCAAGACTCATGTCTACCTTATTCACTCATTATATTCCTGGTAGTGCCTATCACATAGTAGGTGCTAAATAAAAAATTGTTGAATGGGAAAATAAATATTATTGCACTTTGAATCTGCAGGAATTAAGTCAGGCTGTGTTTTAATAGTGACATTTGTTCATGCAGACGGTTGAATGTTTTCATGGCACAGATAATTAATTTTCTTTCTAAATAATTTGCTACATACAGAATCTACTCCTCTACTTGTAGATTTACTTTATTTTTTAAAATCTTTACATCTTTATGTTACTGATTACAATAAGACTCTAAAAACCCACTTTCTTGATTAGTTAATATGTGATTATTTTATACTTAATTAATCCTTCAGTAACTTCCTTTTATCTAAAATTCCATTTCTTTGATGTTTTCCTTCTTCCCCAAAATATTTACGTAATTTAGTCTTCATCTAGAGTCTACAAATACACGTTTTAGCAAACAAATGAATATTTTATATCACAGACACATGAGTATGGGACCTAAAATTAGTCACTTTATAATTATTACACTTGAAGTACAGTAAATGTTTCTTAATCTTGGTTTGTAATTTCAGTGGAAGAGTAAACCTGGAGTGGCTGGAGGACTGTGCTTCCTATCAAAACTAGCAACTTCCTGAATATTAAAACCTGTGATGTCCTAGCACAGAAAGTTTCAGCCCTGCTTCCAAATACTCCCACTTCCTTTTTCTTCTTCACTCATTGAGTATAAGATGACAACATTCTCCTCAGATTCCCTTCAATTTAACTTGTCTCTCTGTCCCAAAATACAAATATATAATTTATATTTGATACATTTGACACAACTTTTATCTTTCATAGTATTTATACAGTAAAACCTTTTGCACTGGACACCAAACTTCTCATATTATTCCTATATAAAAAAATTATTTTCTTAAAACAGGGTGTGGTATTGGAAGATACCCATTGCATTGTCCATTCAATATATTTATCAAATGATTTTGAGGGCCTACCATATGCTAGACATTGGGATACAGCACTAGACAAATTTCTAGTCCTCACACATACATGCTTATATGTGATCATATACATGTATATACATATGTATAATATATATTGTACATAATACACATACATGTGTATAATATGTACACATACACATATGCATGTGTGTGAAAACATGTATAGACACTGTAAATATATGTATATGTATGCTATGAGGAAAGATTAAACAGAGTAAGGAAAGAGTGACAGTGGCCCCAATTTTATTAGGTTTGGTGAATATAGAAAGCCTCTCCTCTCAATAGGAAACTGAATGAAGTGCAGAAATGGGCCATGTAAACATACTGGAGAAAAGTATTTCAGGTAGAGGGAAAAGTAAGTGCAAAGTCCCTAAAATGGTGAGAAGTTTGTCTTATATAAGGATTCAAAGTAGTATAATACTCTGCTAACGTAAATATAGGATCTTTTAGGTGCTAATAGAGGATAGGAAAAAACTCACTCTCTCTCTCAATCGTGTATACCAAGAACTTATTACTTTGTAATATTTGTTAGAAACCAACCCTGATTTGACTTTTTAAAAGTGATGTCTAGTGGCAGATTGGAAGAAGGATTTTAATGATAAAGAGGTTGGCGAAAGGAGCATGGTTAGGAAAGTCTTTTAGAAGTCCAAGTACTTATTGAATAAACAGGAGCAGCATGGCTGTTTAGGAAGAATCACTCTTAAGAAAATGTTGTGGGTATAAGATTTGCAGGATTTGATGAGGGAAAAGAAAATGTTGCAAGTCACTGAGAATTTTATACCTTGGGAAAAGGAGACTAGGGGTGTAAGGCAAATAAGATAAGCCTGTATATGAAAACATGCTAATGTGTTCAGGTTGAGCACATGAGTCAAGGTGCCTGTGAGTGACAGTGATGCAGATGTCCAGTGGATAATTGGGAAAAAAAAGTCTAGTATGCAGATTAGGTGTCAGGCTAGGAATATAGAATTGGGTGTAAAAGCAGCTGTTGGACAAAATTGTCTACGTTGTACTTGTAGAGTATGCAAAAGGATAGGGCCAGAATTAGGTTATCTACCTCCACAGGATAAGAGAAGAAAGATGAACCAATAAAAGACAGAGAAAGGGAACAGAAAGCAGAAGTTGAAACAGGAGGTTGAAACAGAGAGGTTAAAACCCCAAAGGGAAGTGAAAAGAGAATTATGTGAAGAGAGTGGTCACCATCTTGTTTACTACAGATAAGCAAGGAAGCTA